GGGCGAGGGACACAGATCTGCAGAGCTCAGGCCCCGGGAGGGGACGCAGTCTCTATCCCGCAGGCCTGGTTCATCCCTCGACACCACCTTTACTGGCATCTCTGGCCTCTGAGCCCCTAGCTGCGCCTATGGTGCCGGCCCTGGCCTTGGAGGCGGCTGCACCGCACCCTGCACCTGCCGGCAGGTCCTGCCTTCGGCGTGAGGCTCTCCAACCGCGCCTTCGCAGCCCTCGGGGCTGGAAGAGGAAGAGGAGGAGGAGAAAGGGCAGAGAGTAAGGGAGGAAAATGAGGAGGAGGGGGAGACAGTGGAGGAGGAAGTGGAGGAAGACAGGGAGGGGAGGGCTGCGAACCGAGGGGCTGCGGAACCCAGGGCAGCTCAAGGGGTGGAGGGCGCATTGTCTGCCCCCCTCAGTCCAATTGATATGCTAATCTCTTTTCTAATGCCATACAAAGAACACCTTTGCACTTTTAAAAGACTTTTGAACCCTGGCCACAGAAGTTTATTATCCACTAATTAGCAACAACTTTTGGCAATGAGTTGGGTTACATTTTCATAAGCTACTATCCCGGGCAACAAGGTGCACGGGGCTGTAGGAAGTTCGCGCTCGCGGCAAACCTCTAACTGGGGCCGGAAAGCAAAGGTTCGCTCAGGACCCCAGGTGAAGCTGAAGGCAGGTATCAGGAGCTAGAAGTGTGTGGAGAAAGACTTTTTAGGACTGCAGCCCTCTTCGATCCGGTCTCCTGATAACCATCGCCAGGAGCTGCTCGGAGACGGTGACTGCCGAGGCTTAGCAATCTTTTTGGGGTGGGGATGGGAAATGAAACACTACTGAAGGTTCCAGTCCTCGCCTCTGAAAACTTGGGTTTTTCTTAAGGGTTACGACTCAGAATAAGCCGCACCTTAGTAGGAAACGTCCCCTGAAATTCCAGGGCCCCGGAAGAGGAGCAAAGCCGGCACTGCTAGAGCAGCAGCTGTGTGTGTGCGCGCGCGCGTGCCTGTGTGTGTGTGCGTGTGTGCGTGCGTGTGTGTGCGTGTGCGTATGTGTGTGTGTGCATGTGTGTGTAAAGTGCCTACCCAGGGTGGTCTGAACTCGTCGCCCCCCAGCGCAGACTCTGATGGTAACCAGAGCAGAGAGATGCACCCTCCGGGTGGCAGGACCAAGTGCTCACCGCGTGACCTCGCCTCTTGCAGGCTTGGCAAGTTATTGGCGATCTTACACAGTCCCACATCCCAGGTCAATAAACTGGAAACCGATAGAAAGAGCGTCATTGGTGAAAAATAAAGGGCGTGGAGTGGGGGTGCATTCCTACAGTGGGAAAAAAAAAGTCCCTCTAAGCTAATAAAACCCCTGAGCAGTGAGGCCTTCAGTTTGGGCTCAGCCATGGAGATACAATTTTAAGCAATTCAAGTTTCCAAATCCAGCACTTTGGAACTGTTCCACTCATACTTGCACACACACATACACACGTATACTCTATTTTTTTTTTTAAATTCACCTCTTATTTTTCTTTTCTGCTTTTTGCAAATGACTCCGCTGGAAGTAATGTAGGGTATTTCACACCGATGTTACATGGATGCTGCCCGCCTATTAGTCCTCCTTAATAGCAGCTGATACATGTGGCTTGATACATGTTCAAGGTGAAACATGGTCCTACTCAAACCCTAGGTGATTTAGGGTATGAAAGGGAATATTCAGAGGTAGGAAGTGGTAAATTATTTTGTTCCATTCCCTTTCAGTGAAACTAAATAGTGTACATACATTTATCTGCAATCTTAGCATCTTTGTTATCTGAGTGTAGTATTTGTGAACAAGCACTGTTAGAACTAGAAAATGGGACAGGTAGAAGCCAATGGTCGACTTTCCAGAATACCACTGAAGGGAATACAAAGGTTAGACGATATTAATAATATCAGATCCCAGATAAGAGGCTCCAGGACAACAAAATCCTCCGAAAAGTCTCCTCAGCAGTAGCCTGACTGGAGTGAGGGAGGAGATGGGTGGTGATCCTGGGATCCTGCAGAAGCAATTTCTCTTTAGTCACCCCTGGCCCCTTCATTCTGGAGGAACAATGGCGTAGCCTGGGGTTCTTTCATAAAGAGAAACTGTGGGAAGGCAGAGTTGCTCTTTGTGCCCCAGCCATTTAAGGGAGGGAGAGCCCTACAGATGCCCCCTACCACCACAACTGCACAGTGTCTGTGCCATCAGGACCCCTCAGAGACTCACTGAGAGCCAGAAAGGCACCAGTGTGGTAGTCCCCAAAGGCCCACTCAAGCAGCCAGAAGAAACCTGAGCAAAACTGAGCGATCTTAGAATTCTCCAGGGACTTGGGGGAAGCAGAAAAATACACTCACAGGACCAGTCAGTGCCTTCACCCCACCAACCCAACATCTGATCAGAGGTGGTTCCGCTCAGCATGTACTTCACATTAAAGATGCATTTATTTATTTATTTATTTATTTATTTATTTATTTATTTAATCCTTCAGATCTCTGTATACCAGAAAAAGACTTGATTCCCTTTCCAGGCAAGAGTTGATAAAAAGGCTCCATTTTAAAGCAATGAGGAATAATATGACTGTGACCTTGACGTGTGAAAGGGCGAAGGGGTGGTGGATCTGGGCTCAAACCTTCCTCCTCTCCCTGACTGCTGGGGTGTTCTAGGTGCTAGCTAAGAACACTGGCAAGAAGCAGGATTTATTTTCAAAGGTTACCATTAGCGGTTCACTTGCTAAAGTTCAGAATTCACTATTTTTATATATTACGTGAAATTCATGATTTAATTATACTCCAAAAACAAATTAAGGACAGGCCTTCTTCACAAATTGGAGGCAGCTAAATGCTCTTTTGTGCCTGCCGCCCTCGGGTTGTTAAAGAGGCTGCTGATGCGTGAGAAGTAAGTGACTGATTTAACTCATTGGGATGCAGGAAGCGACCTGCCCTCTTAGAGAGAGAGAGAGAGAGAGAGAGAGAGAGAGAGAGAGAGAGAGAAGAGGAGAGAGAGAGCGCTAGAGAAGAGAGGGGAGGGGGAAAGGGAGAGACAGAGACAGAGAGAAAGAGAGAGAGAGAGAGAGAGAGAGAGAGAGAGAGAGAGAGAGAGGATGCAGAGGGAGGGAGGGAGACCAAACCCCTGCTTTACTGCCTTGAAAGCTTCTGAATTTCAAGCAGAAAGTAGAAGGAGCCCTGTAAGGCGCTGAGCGTCTTTCCTGAGCTGCAAGCGCAGAGCGTAGACAATGAAAATCTCCATCCCCCTCCCCCAGCCCCGCAGACTGCAAGATTTTGGTTTGCCTTCCTTCTCAACAGTGGACCATAACGTAGAATCAAATATGTAAGAAGTGTAGGTATTTGGGGGGAAAAAAGCCGGACTGAGACGCGGATTGCCCAAACGCCCGCTAGCTGTGAGTACCTCTTTCCTTCCTTATCTGGGCTTGGCGTCGCGGAGGGCTGAGGGTGCTGGCTTTGTGAGCAGGGTTTCTGTGTGTATCACTTTTCACACGTGAGCGCTAGTGTTCCGCCCGTGGTGGGCACGCCGGACCGGGCAGTATTTGTCTAGGATGCGGTGGCTGGCAGCGGCGGGCGGCGGGCGGCGGCCTGCCTCAGTCGAGGGCTTCCCGCGCAGCCTGCACTTTGCAGAGCTCAGCTCCTGCAGGCTGCAAGCTTGGTTCCCCGCACTGCGTGGAAAGCAGGTCACCGACACCCCTAAACTCCTGAGCTCCCAGCCGCTCAGGGGAGTGGCACGGAATTAAGAGTAGGAATCTCAGGAGCAGACCTAGAATGGAGCCATAGGAGGTCCCTGGCCCTGTCCTTGACTTTTGGGGACTGAGTCTGGCTGGGGTTAGCTACCTCGGTAGTCACACCACGCCTCGGTGTGTCTTTATCTGCATCTCAAATAAAGCACCTTCTTGTGCCGAGGGCCTAGGAGAATAGCACGGAGTGTGCATGTGTCTGAGAACGCCCAGGAGGCCAAAATCGTGCCTCTGGGAAGGTATTTTTTTCGCCTCTTGAAAATGTGTAAGAATTCCGCGGGCTCATGCTTTCTTTGTGTGGCGGGCAGCGCCAAGCGCTTTGTGCTTCACAAGGAGAAAATGGCGAGTCCTATTGTGGTTAGGCCATTTTCTTTCGGTACAAGGATTTTCCAAGTTCCAAATACTTTTTTGGAAAATAGCCTTCTCTGGCCGGAAAAAGTGCGAATCACTAAGGCTCGGTTCCGTGGACTGCTGTGGGCCGACCTCTATTTGAAACCAAGAGTCTGTTTTCTGGCTGCTAGAGCACTAGTATCAGAACAAAAAATTGTGCAGCGCGGTCCCCTCCAAAGGCTCCGTAGAGGTTTCCCGGGGTTTCGGAAAATACACGTCGTCTGTATGTGTTTATGGACACATGTATAAATTACATCCTTGTCCTGATAACCTGAAGGGGAAGACAAACGCACAAAACAACTAAAATTTGGGATGGAGAAGAGTAATGTCCCCACCCTCTTCTCCTTTCACTCCCTAGCTGAAACCCTAGGACAGGTTAAACCTTACTGCCTTGGGGCAGGCTTTTGTTTCATAAACAAAGATGAAATATTATTTTAGATTGAGGAATTATGAGACAGCCTTAGCCACTAGAGTATATCAGTTGATTGCTTTGCTTGAAAATTATAGGGTGTTATGGAGTGAATCCGTTTAATGGTCTTAGTGTGCATGTGTGCCTGTGTGTGTGTGTGTGTGTGTGTGTGTGTGTGTGTGTGTTAGCTATCTCTACATTGCCTATAGATAGCTGTAGTTGCATGTATAATGGAGAGAGGGAGATGCTTGAGAAGGATGTTGTTTGGGTTTTTTTTTTCTTCATGTGTCATTTCTGTAAAAATTTTGTGTACTTGTGAAAGTGAACAAAGATGCCTGTACAAGAATGTCTCTGTTACCTTTTGACTGCAGAGGGAGGGAAGGAAAGAGGGAGGGAGAGAGAGAGAGTGAGAGAGAGAGAGAGAGAGAGAGAGAGAGAGAGAGAGAGAGAGAGAAAGAGTATAAGAATGACAAATATTATTTTCTATCTACTACAACACTTTGACCCCTCCATGTGCTGATGATTTTGTCAGTTTAAAAATAATGAAATGCAATGTAAATTTTCTCTTTCTGCTTTCTATATTGTTTGGTGGCAAATACAGGAAAAAAATTGAGGAAGACAATTTCAAGCTGTAGACATTTCCTCCTTTTGCATCATCTTAAAAATGAGTGAATTATATTTGTGCAGAAGCCTTGTGACTTTCATTTTCAAAATGCACACTAGTGTGTCTCCCTTCATGGAGCTCAAGACCATGGACAGCGAACTAATATTAAATCATTAAATACAAAGGGCTCCAGTAAAATTTTGTGAAAGCAGAATATAAGTTTGCATTTAAAATATGTTAGGAGCAAAGACAAATTTTATAATTTTAAGATGGTTACATCTCTTTAAAAACATGGCATTTCAAACTTACTCTACCAAGTTTCAGAGAAATAATTTTTGTGTTCAGGATTTACCTTGTCTCAAAGAGTACATATTGTTTATCCAATTAAAATAAGATGAAGTGTACCTTTTGTTACTGCTAATAACACATTTAAATGCATCCACTTTTACAAATGGACTGTTTCTTATAAGGCTTTCAAGCAAAGTGGAACAGAGAAATTCTACTATTTTAGGCCAGCATTAGCTGAATGACATTAGAGCAAATTAAATTGATTTTTATCAGTAACTGAATTTTTTAATCCTTAGAATTGGAAAAATTAAATGCCACTTTGATAGACAGGGATAATATGAATAGAGATATAATCCAGCTAGTCCTTTTGCCTCTAGTTAGACATTTTAGTTTATAACTGACAGTGCAATGTTGTAGACAAATATTCATTTTATTTGCCAGTAAGTTACTGGGGTTTTTTTCATACATATTAATTCAATTTGGGACACAGGATTTCTTCGATGTAACTTCCTATTAGATATCCATCTATTTCGTTTTGAGCAGTATTTGAATTGTCTTTATTCCTTTTTCAGGAGGAAAATTAAAGTCATTTATTTTATGGTTTATGTAATGCATTCAAAAATATTCATTCAAATTTCCAATTTCATGTTCTTTTGGCTTATTTCATAACCTCACTTCAGTGTGACTGTAAAGGCCTGGAAAATCATATAAAGCAAAAATAAACATGCTACAGAAATTAAGACTGTTTATAGTTAAGAATAAACACCATCAATTTAAAGCTATGTTGATATTTAGAAAGAAATTCTTGATATGTATCCACCTATATTTATATGTGCCTATAGAATTCTTTGAATTGCAGGTTTCTAAACTTAGGTGCTAGATATGTTTGATTACACACACATATTTTTTAAAAATCAGCATCTTCAAGTCACCTGAAAAGAATATGCAATGATGTTTTAGTGTGTCCTGATCAGGACCATGGTGAGGTCCCCTGACTCGAAGAAAGGTGGCCCAGGGCTCTGTCTGGGATGCAAACCAAGGTGAAAAGACGTTATTGTTCAGGATTCCACATTTCTCGTCATGGTATTCCTGATAAAATGAAGCATAAATCTAGAGCTTGGCCTGAGGAAAGGGTGGCATCGAGATTCCTGAGAGAAGATGCTTGCGCACATAATTATAAAGAGATCTCTTGTCTAGAGCTGGCTATCTATCTGGCCTAGCATGCTTATTTTTCTGTTAACCAAGCAAGAGTGGGAGAATCAGAAGAACCCAGGCGTCTGGACGAGGTTTCTAGTTGAGATGCTGGAGGGCAGTGGGCTCTCTCCATTTTAGGGCGGCACATCTGAGAATAGTGACTTCCGCCTGCTTGGAAGGAGCCTGAGCAGGGAGGCGAGGAGGATGAGAGGATATGGGAAGGTGTCTCCGGGGCTGTCTGTGCTGACATCAAGGGGAGCCCAAGCAAGGGCGAGCACTTGCCCTTCGCTGTACCCTGGCGCGGCTCCTGGGGGCTGCGATCCTTTTGCGGCTCTTGGGTTTCAAGGACACAGCTTGCTGCTCAGGACTTTGGGAGCCAACATCTGTCTGACTGGTGACGTCAGCAGCCCGTGTAATCCTCTTGTGCTGAAGGCAGATGCCTTATTTGTTTGGCTGGAGCGAGCCATTAATCCCTAATTCTGGATCAGCAAGCGAGGGGGAAAGACCGGACCGCTCCGACCCACCCCTCCCCACCCCCACCTCCCACCTTAAAGCACCTTATACCACCGAAGCCTCTCAGCCTTCTCTTTCCTGGGGAACACGCTGCGGAGAGACTGAAAACGGTTTGGTCCTCTGCAGGTTTGAGCAGGGCTGGCAGGTCTTTCTCCTTCCTATCGCTAGGGCTGTGTGTATACGTAATTCTGTCTCTCATCGATCGTTTCGATTTTCTGGCTGGGACTCGCGGATCTTGCAGTTTTCAGGGTCCTGAGCCACGAAGGGATGGAGACTGGAGAATGTGGGCGCGACGTGGTCTTGGGGAGGGCGCGAGGCAGGGAAAGGGGCGCGGGATGCGCGAATGGCTGAGACCGCGCGCGCACTGCTGCAGCTCGGAGACCCTGCTCAGGACGCGGCGAGTCCGAGGGGCCGGCTCTCCTCATCGCCTGCTCTGCCTGGACCTGTGCTGTCCTCCAGGCGCCGGCCCGACTCTGCGCACTGCGGGTTCGTCTCAGCACGCAGCTGCAGCTTGAGGACGGAGATCCGGAGCCGGTGACCCTGGTGCTCACCGAGGTCCCCTGCTCGGTCCCTCCCTCCTCGAGTCCTTTCTCTGCAGACTCCCCCTCTCCCTCTCACCTGTCTAACTGTACGGTTTGATTCTGTTTTTCAGGGGCGCCTTGGAGTCTCCGCGCAGCCCCGGCTCTGGGCGCCCTCTCCGGTACTGGGATGCAGCGGGAGCGGCCGTTCCCTCCGGGCCACCGTGCCGCCTCCCGGGGACGCCGTGAACAGAGCCGCGGCCCGGCCGCCTCCGCCCGCAGCGCACCGGGCTCCTCCCGTAGAGGTCAACTCCCCTCACCCCGTCCTTTTTCCTGTCTGCACCTCTCTCCGCGGGCCCAGCACTGCCCAGCACTCGGGCCCTGCCGCAGTCTGAGGACCGCGTGTCCGCTGCGCTGCGGTGGCCCGGTCCAGTCCCCCGGCCCGCCCAGACCGCGGTCCGCACTCTGGGCCGGTGGGAGAGTTTTAGGAGAGGCTTTTCTCCAAGCAGCAAAACCGTACCCGGACCAGATGGGCGGCCCAGCTCTCGGGGGACCAGGCAGGTGCCACTGAGTTAATTTTTCCGCATTATAAAGAAAGACGACCCAGAGCGCCCCTTGGATTCTTTTCTTTTCCCGAAATTTCCCCACTAAAACTGCGGCAGGGTTCTCAGAGGACCCAAGAGGAGGCGGGTCCGTGGGTCACTCTTACATACGCTCGGACGTATTTATTTTTCTTTTCTTTTTACATGCTCGATATCCTCAGAAGCAGGAAATGATCGACGAAGTTTTGAGCAGCAGCTCATGTTATGTCTGGGTCCTTAAAAGTCTGCTGTTCTTTACCAGTGTCTTAGGAGAGATTCAGGGTAAAACGACGTGAATAATTGCCTTCAGTAAAATACACAATTACAAAATTATACCTCTACCTGAAGAGCAATTAACTTCTATCCATGCCATCATTTGAAAACTGGATTTACAGGCGAATATATGTTTTTAGGTGTGCTGTAAGTGGCATGCAGATATATGCACATGTATAAGCAGGCGCATGAATCCTCTGCATTTCCACCCAGCAGACTAATTAGCAGCGGCTCGGGCAGATGTGACTGCAGGCGAGCTGAGACGGCAGACTTGTGAGATAAGTAGGGACCCAGAGCCTGGGGGTGGGGAGGGCGAGAAGAGAAGTGTGGTCATTGCAGTGGGTCGGTTCCTTTCCGGATCAAGAACAGAGACTCTGCCCTCCGTGTTCACAGCGGACCTTGATTTAATGTCATACAATTAAGGCACGCGGTGAATGCCAAGAGCGGAGCCTAAGGCTGCACCTAGAGAACCTAGAGCATTTCAGAGACAGAAAGGGGGAAAGAGGCTTGCAAGGGAGTTTGGCGAACGGTGGCATGAAACCACCCTTTGCCACAGGAAGATCATCACAGTAACTTCACAACGAAGCTGCTGTTTCAAAGTGAAAGAGAGTTACTTTTTAGTAAAAGCCTCAGAAATCTGCAGGCAAATTCCAACGGTGTCTTTAAGGGCTTCATTGACACCTGTCAGGGCATTAGTGGGTTCCCATTTGTGTAAATATTCTAAAGCTTTTAGAAAGAATTTGTTTTTCAAAATAGGAGTCTACAAGTTGGTCAAATTGCAGGAATAAAATAGAAGAGAGGGGAGTATGGCATATATGACGCCATAACTACCTTAAGCAACAAATCTAAAATTGGTTAACTGTGGAGTGAAGATGTAAACAACACCCTGCCTCTATCTGGCCTTGACTTCTCCCTTTCTCTTTGCTGTCTGGAGTCAGCCTCCCTAGGGTTAACACCCCAGGATAGTTTCCTTGTTTTCCTACAGTGACAAAGGCTAAAATCAGTCCAAAAAAAAAAAAGTAGAGTATGGTAAAAGGGACAGTTCAGGAACTTTAGAAGGACACGGCACATTATTTGTAAGCCTGTAAAGTAACTTGTGTTGAGGTAGGTAGTTCCATACCACGGCCTTGGAGCCAAAGGAAAACCTAGGCTAAATTTTTTAAAACCGAGTGTTGATAGATGTCTTTGTTCTGCCTTGGCCTGCAGGGGCTGGGAACAAAGGAATGGATCCTCCAGGGTGCTCCAGGGTGGCCGCGCCCTCCCTGCCTGGCGCTGTCCGTGGTGCTGACCCTCTATTCGCTCCATAATTGAAGCAGAAAAACAGTACTTCTCATCCCTACCTAAAAGAGTTAACAAGATGTTAGGTAACCTGCTAAATAAAAATTTAAAAGAGGGAAAGTTCACACATAATGAAACAACATTTTACCTAAATCGTATACTCCAGCTATTGCCACACTTCGCTGGGTACTTTTCCATCTTTAGTAGGTACTCATCTTCAGACAGTGTAGGTAGATTGGGAAAAAATTTCAGTTGATTTAGGTTGAAACCAAAATATGTATAAACAATGAGCCAGACTTGCAAGAAAGAGATGGAGGGAAAAACTAAGACTTTTATTATTATTTTCTTTCATAAATAATCTCCCTTAAAACCCAGAAACAAAGTTTTCAGCTGTGGATCTTAGTGCTGAGGCTAAGAACCGGCTCAGGGTGAACTTGAAGTTTATCAGGGAGGAATGGGATCGGGAGTGATTAGGTGAGACCTGGCAGTTGTCAACGCAGCCTGGAACCACTCTCCAAGCTCGCACCAGGACAGCCTTCCTAGGTGGGCCCAGAAGGTTAAGCTGCTCCAGAGGGCTGCACTGGTCGGTGCACTGCATCTGCGCCAGCGGGAGGCATTGCAGCATCCGGAGGCCTAAAACCCGCACTGCGGAAAAACCAGCCACAGCAGCATCATCCTATTAGTCCTTGGCGACAGGAAATAGGCAGAATGGCTTAGTAAACCCCATGCAATGAAGATTTACTGGAGTACTTCAGTAGTCAAAGGCGGATGTGCGGGTATTGACATTTTCAACAATTTAAAATTCTCAGCATATTTTCGACAATTTAAAATTCTCAGCGTATTTTCGACAATTTAAAATTGTCAGCGTATTTTACCATCTTGGCTTACACACTGAGAGTATTAATATAAACCATAAAACATAAGCACCCTAATTAATGAATCAAATGGGAAGGAAAAAAAAGAAATGGCAAATAAATATGTACCTAGTCTGGGTTCACAAAAGAAATCATACGTGTTTTGTGTTAGCTGATAAAGTCACAAACGTAAACTGTGTTAAAATTAATAACAGATAAATCAATACAAATTGGGCAATAGAGGGAGCAACACTGATTTTTTGATCCATGTGTGGAAATGCATCATCCACTGACAATAGCCAAAAAAGATGTTTCCATTACATTTGTTGTTTTACACCTGAATGATGACGAGACATCAAATGATTCAGGAGACGAAAGCATCCAAGCATAACGTTCTCAGCGGTCTACTTCTGTGCCCCCACCTTCGGGCAGATTTTATTTCCCTCTCATTTCAAAATTCTGTGAGTTAGGTCCTCTGTTGCAATAACCACTTAGGCTATATTTAATTTTATATAACTTGAGCGGGAATGAGTAATCCATGTTGGAAAAAAAAGATCTACCAAAAAATTTTAAGAAAAAAGAAAAAGGTTAGGATTATTTCTCTTTTGCCAGTTCAAAGCAGCAATTGGCAAGTGAAATGGATTAAAGCAGCACAGGTTATCACAGACAGCTCCACCTCCTCCCAGCATTCATTTGGTTCTCTTGATACCCTGCATCCACTCCCCATGTGAACTTCACAAAGCAGGTTCTAAGGCTGCAAAATATTTCTGCCTGCATTGTTATAATTCATATTACATAACAAGAGCACACTTAATCCTCCTCACCCTAATCCTACCTGTTTAAGGATGTCCTAAACTCTAGATTTAAAAAGCTTAATCACTAAAAATTACTTTCTAAGAGAAATGAAATATATGATATGAGCGGTAGTGCTTAAATAAGGGAACAAGCACATAATACAGTAATTTAGCTGCCAAGGGTAAATCCAGAGTGGTTATTGATCCATTATGTCTGAAGACTTTAAGACTATTTATTTTGAGTTTCATTCAAAAATAATCATCCAGTTTAATGCCTCTTCCAAATTGTCCCTGGTATGAAATTCTACGCTCAGCAGTTTTGCGCTAAAACGACCCAAGCTTTGCAATTGGAGAACTTCTGCACATAGTGTTGTAGGAGGCTTTTGACAATCACAACTTTCATCTAGTGGTCTGAAATTAAAGCTCCTTGGAATAATTTAGAAACAGCTTGACCCGTTGAGATACTCAACGACAAGTCTCTCGGGAAATACGTAGTATTATTTCTTTCCTGGGAGCAAGGTCTAGCGCAGTGCATCAAGAAGTATCTGTTGTCAACAATACCAGAGCGCCCTCTGCTGCCCGTATAAAGGCAGCACACAAGTTACAAAAGCCAGATGGCACTAAATCTCAATGAAAGGAGGAAACATTAAGCTCTTAAGAACATTTAATCTGTGAAATTTAAAAGCTCTCATCATATTCTGCTTCTGAAAAGGCCACCGGATTTTTATTTTGAGCACTTCTTGGGTGATTTCCTCCTAATCTGTAGGGTAAAGTCAGTATCTTGAAATTTACTGTGTCAGTTCTGTATTCGTATTTTATGTCTTTCTCAAATCTTATTTGGAAACATAAAATAGCAAATCACAGTGAAAAATCTCTGTGCTAGGAGTTGAATGGAGAAAGATTTTCCTATTTTTTCCATTCCTAATTAAAATAAAATACAAAGCATAGATTAATTATTTTAAAACTATAATTTCAAAAATTAAGGAAGTCGATATAAAGAATTATCTTGTTGTTTTGCTTTGATAATTAACTGGCATTTTGCTCAGTCTTTAAATTTGGGAATAAAATGTTCGTGTTTAAGGAAGAAGTTGAGAAATTTGCATTGCCCTTATATACGGTATTTTGCTCTGGAAACCTTCCTAATTTACATCCGTACTCAGTTCACAAAGAAATACTCAGAGATGTAGATAAGGTAACAGAACGCACAAATCCATAAGAAGTGTTATTTGCATTAAAATGAGTTTTTCTTATTGAAAATTTGTTCTCAAGTGAAAAGAATATTTATTAAAAAGTTAAACCCCTTTTTAATTTTTATGTATTCTGGGGATTATATTGATTAAAATAGTGTACAGCTGTATTAATTCAACAGAGTAAAATTTAAAATTACAGCTTATTTTAAGACACACATTTTTTGCATACACACTGTTATTGACTATATCGGTGCTAATATAATCAAATGTGCTTATTAAATTATTAATGATGTGCTTGTAAATAAATCTTATAAAATAAAGTTCTGTTTATTTTATGATAGCAGAGTGAAATAGCTGTCTAATATCCCTTATTTTAATCTTAGCTTCTAAATGAATTTCAACAAAGATACTAAACTATACAGTTCTGGCAATATTGAGCTAAAATTAATAATTATTTGATTTTACAATTATCTGGGATAGAAGAAAAATCTTGGTTAAATAATAAAGCAACTTAAATATTTGACCAAATATGTCAAATTCTGTATAACCACAGAACATTTGTCTTCAGATATTTACTTTTTGAAGAATGTATTTGCAAATTCATGTTATAAGAAATTAAAAAAGAAAATTGATAAAACTTTTATGATTTAAGCAATCTTTTATAAAATATTACATTTTATTTACTAAGTTTAAATTTATTTCTAAGAAAATTTATATTTACCCGAGATAAAAAAAACACAGTAACATACTTTTATGATATATTCCTAACAGTTTTGATATTTGAAAATAATTTCAAAATAGATAAAATGCATAATATGTGTTAAGAACCCTTCTTATTTTAAAAACTGTTTGCTATATTCTAAAAGAAGGAATGAAAACAACCAAACAAGAATGTAAGAAAGAAAAGGAAACAAAGGAACAAAAGAAATAAGAGTTTCTGAGATGTCCAACAAATGCTGCCTGAATTGAAAGCCTCCCCAGTTTTCACCAATCAAATTTGTATTTAAGATTTTTTAAATTTTTTATTTATTTATGTATTGGGTGGTTTTTTTTTTTTTTTTTTTTTTTTTTTTTTTTTTTTTTTTTTTTTTTTTTGAGACAGAGTCTCACTCTGCAGTTCAGACTGACCTTGAAACTCACTTTGTAGCCCAGGCTGGCCTCAAACTCATGGTGATCCTTCTGCCTCAGCCTCCCCAGTGCTGTAACTACAAGGATGCACCAGCATGCCTGGTTACCTTTTTTAAATTTTACATTTATGCAAGAACAGCATAACTGTAACTTAAAGATCCCTCTTAATTTCCTCTACCTATTGAAAACATTTGCTTCTATAAGAGTAATATTCATAGAAACAGTACATTTATAGGAAGCACAATGTAACACAAACAACTAATTATTAAAGCTTTTACTTAAGAATTGTAAGCAAGAACATTCACCACAATAATTAAGTATTTTCTGATGTGAAATTAACATAGAATGTAATACGTAGAGCACTCGTATGTATGAACATACAGCAGCAGCACACATGCACACACATGTACACATCCATATCTTCCCTAATCATAGACTTCAGATTAGATGGAATGGGCTTTAAACTGTTCAACATCTTTTTATCATGTGTTCAAACTCAGCTATCATCACATTTTTCATCAACTACTGTTAAATAGCTACTACCATATAGAAATATGGCTAAATAGGAATTGAAAATGGAACATTTAACATATAAAATAAAGATGTCAAGAAATCGAAATTAATTATCTTTAAAATAGAAGGTTGGTGGCTTCAAATTGCTTGGCAAATATTTGTATTGAAGAACAGTAAAAGAAGTTGAAAGCCTAGTTGTTAGCAGGTGGGTGAAATAAGAATCAACTAAGTTGCTGAAATTCATGTAGAAAGAAAACAAGAAAATAATGGACGTCAATTTTCTTTTTGATATTCTAACAGAAGTTGCTATATTGATGCAGGAAAATCTTTGGAATTATTAAGTATTATTTAAAAGACTGTTTCTTCATTGGAATGTGGTGCAATTTTGGTCTTGCTGAGGTAACAAAGACAGAGAACATACTGGAAATCAAATTGTCAAAATATTTATTTTTATCATTGTACTTCACCCTATAGATTTGAGAGAATTTTGATTTTGCTTTCCTAGTTATTGGTCATACTCTTCTTAATTATAAAATTGTATGTAAGTGCAGTTCTATACATATATAAATGATAAGATAAGTATACCTATAGAATATATTGGGTAAAATGTTCCTCTGCCAATTTGCTTAAATAAAAAGTTCAGTGCTACAAGAAATAAAAATGCGGTTTAGAAAATTGTTCTTTGCTGATTTTAGTGTTCTAAGTAGTCATCATCATGATATATTTTTAGACAGGATCTTTAATTTGGGCTCAATTACAATGCTTTTTAGGAGTTCACAGCACTGAAGATGAATGTGAGGAGTAAGAGTCCCACACCAACGTGATAACCGAGAACACTGAGCAAGGTCGATTCAAAGGTGATGAAGTTTAGGCTGCTATGAAACTCTTAGGTGGAGAAAGGCATTCTCTCGCCTAAAGCTATATAATGTCAATTTTCTAGTTAGAGGAACTTCTCGCTTCCCAGGACATCCTTGATCTGACTTTCTCCTCTCAGTTTTTGGAACTAAGCTATAATAATTGTCTTTTAATTGTCCAATCGATATCAGGTGAGTAGAGACTGGTGGCAAGAATTTCAAAAATAAATTACTCACTATTTGAATCTTACAAACCAGTATTTTTAAAAGGGATTTTAATTTCACAAAAGGGATTATTTTTACCTAAATTTTCAATTCAGAAAGGGTAAATATTTGTAAAAGCCCAACAAGCATCAAGACGCTGTTAGTTGGGTAGGGAAAAAGGATTATGATGTATATATGAAATATCTACTTTAGTGATTATGTTTATTTAACACAAAGTTGTGAATAATTAAAGTCAACTTTAGCTGTAACTTGGAAACACCTCTTCCAAAGTTACCTTACAATCAAGATAATCTACCTGATGAAATTACATGGGACAAGAGATTACTAATAATCATTTAAAGTGGCTGATAAAATAAGAGACAGTTCTTCATACCTACTCCAGCTGTTAATAGAAAAAAAATTTCTTCAATGATTAGTGTTTTCTAAATTCCCTTTCAGTGAACAAAATATTTTTACACTGTCTTTCTCGCCCCACCTTCTTTCTCTTCTTCCCCTTAGTTGATAATGGTACTCAATATGGTAAGTGATTAGATCAACAACACTGAACATATCAAGCAATCTTAGAGGCAAAGTTCAAATTTACAGACAGAATATACATATGAACTTGAATTTATTTTTATTTTGACATCTCGTGTCCATAGCTAATATCTAAGCTTCCTGAGATTTCCAAACATAGAGCATAAGTTTGGTACTCCTTTTACTTACTGTGTGCATACTTACTGAATGTCCAGATCCTTTCCATATGTTAACTACTTTATGATAAATGCAAAAGATGTGATTCCTATTGTGACAGACCTAAATTTCCTACCATATTAAATTTCCTGCCTTTTGAACTTACTTTTTATAACTTAAATTCTTTTATTTTTAAGTGTCTCCACACCAGCAACTGAAGTATTTTGTGAGTATGGTAAGAAAAGATTTGCATTTTCCTTTACTACTAAACAAAACCAGTAGGTTACATTTCCCTACTTCTCTACCACTCACTTAATAATGAATGCATTTTGTTATCCTCTTTCAAATCAGTTGAAAAAATATTGTTATAAGCTGATTTATATTTATATAAGCAGATTGGCCATACAGTAAATTGAGACTTTGCCTCATTTGTGATTTCTACTTTTTTTACTTATTGACTGTAAACATTTACTTATATTTTGTCATACATTTTGACTTCCATATAATTTGTACTGTATAAGTGTTCATTCAAACTGTAATTTGGTTCTTATCCTTTCTTTACACGTTTCTGTAACTTTGTTACTTTCATTATTTCCCTTTTCCTGTTTGTTTGCTTTGTTTCTTGCCTATTGTTTTGTTTTGTTTGTTTGTTTGTTTGTTTATTGGTACTGGGGATTGAACTTACGACCTCCCTGGCACTTACCAGGTAACTACTTGTGCCCTGAGCTAAATCCCCAGCACTCCCACTTAGTATTTTAATAAGTTATCTTTTTAATTATCAAAATTTCTTTCAATGTATATCCTATTTTCTACAGGGCATTGAAGTAACTGATTTATAATAACCAAATGGTTAATTGGTTTTCCCAAATAGAATAGCAGTGCATTTCAAATCTAATGTAGTTATTGAAATCATCAAAATAACTAGACCAACATTTTCATGGTTTCATTATTTCACACATTTATGATTAGTTTTAAATCAACTGATCACTCAAATATTTGACCCAAAATACTTCCACAGATATAATTTGCAGGCTCTTCATTATACCACCTAATTAACTGTGAATATTTTAGATATTTGGCACCTGAAAAAGTAGTCATATCTCGCTAATTTATTGTGAAATTGTTGGTCACCATCTTGACCTATATCAAAATAGTCAGAGGTGTCCGATTTTTTAAGGCAGTGATAGACACTATGTATACCAATAGGGGTCATATATCTTTGCTGTAAATTCTGATTATTTAACTTATTAAAAGTTACAAGAGTTAGAATTTCTACAACTTTGGAATACAGCTGGTATAATAGTAAATATTGAGTTCATGTGCTGATAATGTAGTCTGAGAATCTATATTTTAGCTGTAACTCTTACATTAATTAGTTAAATAATCTGGTTTACTTACTTTCCTTCACTGGATACTGGTTTATGTGAACTGGATTCAAGATTCTACATAATATGACATAAGTGTTAGCTGGAAAGTTAGTTTGCAAATTTAGGTTTTTAGGTCCCAACCTCTAAACTTCATCTGGTCAGGTCTAGAACACATTTCAACCAGCAACATAGCTGGTTCTGAAGTAACTGGTCTGTAATTTAAAAATTATGAATCAACTCTTCAAACATATTTCTAACCCTAAGCCTTTTAGCTATAAATTAAAGAAAATTAACAATTCTAAGACAATGAATTTTATCACCAGATAAGAAAGTCCAGAAATAATTGGTATCAGCAAGTCTTGTTTTGATAAGAATAGTGTGTAAGTTTGAATTCTTAAAGAAGTAAATGTCAAACTTGGGTTAAATTTGCACTCACTATATTATGGAATACTTCTCTATAAGAAAATGAGGGGCCAAGCAAGCTGTCAGATAGCACAACAGGGCCGATTTCTAATGAGAGACTTGAAAAGAGGGATACCAGGGTCTTCAAATAGCATATAATCTAGGCAGTCTTGGTAAGGCCACCAGAAAGTCCTTGAACCCATGCTGTCAGATGAGTGGACATATTCTTACAAGAATATATCTATTATCTTTACCATAATTAGTCTCAGGTTAGAAGCTTATGGGAAACATGGCCTCTCAACATACGTAATCATGAATTTTAGTGTGCAGTGTTTAGGCCTTTAGTTAATTTTATTCCCTAAGACAAACATCTACAACTTATATTTTCATGCCCATTACAGAAAGGCAAGTCACTAATATTGTGAGAATCAGTTACAGGGAAATTTAAGAGACTTGTCAGTCATCACATGGAAAAAAACCCACAGATTTTATATGAGTAGGATCAGCTAGCAGTAAAAGAGACAGGCAATTTTAAAAGTATAGAACATTTTTTTTTTGCTCCCAAAACATAGTTAAGATGGCTAGGTCACTCTACAATAATGAACTAGCCATAAATCCCACTGGTTTAAAACAAAACCAAAAGAAAAAAAAAATGGTATCTTGCTCATGCTGTATGCTATTTTAGGCTGGAGAGGTACTCTATTTGCCCTAATATTCCAGAAGGTCAAATAACTAAACTTTTATGGCCTATAAATGCCATTATTTCAAATATGTGATCCATGACCTCCAACAATATATTAGGAAATAAAAAGCCCAATACGTTGATGCAGAAGTAAATGTTTTGTTCCAGATATATTTGTCTATATCTATCTATCTATCTATCTATCTATCTATCTATCTATCTATCTAACTAGAATCAGTTATAGAATATTGTAAAAATTTAAATTGTATATGTATTTTAAATGTTTTTTTTTTTTTTTTTTTTTTTTTTTTTTTTTTTTTTTTTTTGGCTTTTTCGTTTTTATCGGTACCGGGGATCGAACTCACGACTGGCTGCTTTCAAGGCAGGCGCTTATGCCGCTGAGCTAAATCCCCAGCCCCCGTATTTTAAATTTGACAGTAATAGACACTGGTAAACACTAATATTGACCAAAGTAAGATTTCTTGCAAATCGTACCACCAGTGCTAAGCAGAAATCGACTATATCATCTTTTAGGATCCTGAAATTTAGGTATCAAATGTAAGTGAGATAGACTTCAAGTGCTATTTGCATTTTTTAAAGGCAGTGAAGTATGACAGACCAGAAAGAATTTTTCAAATAAACGATCAAGAAGTCTTATTTAAAAGTAAGCTCTTTCTTTGAATTGCTGTATGATTTTGAAATTCATCTGAACTTTCTGAACCCTTGTTTTCATATCTAAAAAGTGAGAGAATGAAATTACATATCCAAATTATATTTCAGAAACCAATTAAGTCTAATAATGGTCACATTAAAAACAGTGGAAATGCAATAATATCGTAGTATTTGTTCAGAGGAAAGCTCTGTGTTTTTCTTCACATGTAGCAAATGAATAACATCACTGTAAGACTAGATTCTAGTCATTTGTTTCCAAGTTATTCACGTAATTTGTGAATAAGGTCTCCGTGAGAAGTCTAGGGGAACACGCTCAGGATGTCTGCACTACAGCCTCATCCTCTGAACAAGACATCTTCTACTCAGCTCCTCATAAGTTTCCATCAGGATCAAGCTCAATACAACCAACTCCCAGATGCTACTTTGAATTCTCCCCACCCTCCCCTACTCCAGTCCAGTTCCCTGAACTCATTCTCCAGAAAAATTACCTGCTGGCAAAAGTGTTTGCCTTAATCAGTGCTTCCTCAGGGAACCTAGGCTAAGAGAGCAAAGTGATCTCTATCAAACAAGTGATATAGGATCAAAGACCACTAGAAACTTGAGTTCTTTTATGTTTAGCCCTAACTCATTATTTATATGTCTTCCCTGTCAGGTTACTTCCTACTTCTCAAAAGCTAGCAAGAATTCTTCCTAGGGATGGGTTGTAACTTCTTTAGTTACTACATAGACAAAAATCAAAAATATGAAAAGCCCAAATAGTAATGGAGCTGCTAATTAAGAACTGGGAAACATCCCAAAGCTCCAGTTCAGTTTTCCTGTCTCTGTGCCTGTGATGGATGGAGCTGGGAGGGCAGGTACAGTGAAAGGGATCCAGGTGCTTGCAATTCTGCAGCCAACTCTGCACTCTTTATTTGTTAATTTAATAAAAATCAATGTGTGCCATTGAGGAAAGGAATAAAACACTCCTAAAAATATAGATAATTATGTATTCAACAAGTAATTATATAAACTCCAGCACTGCAAAAATAAATATAGGGTAAACATACACTAAATATTAAATATATTAAGATATAAATTAAAATATTAAACTACAGGTAAATGCACAGAACATATATCCACATATACATGTAGGAATATTATAGACATAAATAATAGCCTTGAGGTACAACACATACTTTGTGAAGCTTTCTTAACAAGCAGGGTCAGAGTCAAACCCAAAAGCTGAGATTTTTCTTTCTTGTCCTTCTGACCAATCAACCTTAGACACAAATTCAGGGGAGAGTAATAACAACAGCATCCAAACTATACTGAGGAGTAGTAAAGAAAACTGAAAAGCCTTCAGAGGGAACACGAAGAGACATGTCACTTGCAAAATACTGAGAAAATTTAGAGAATCCAACACTGACCCAAATGGATTAGTCCCCATTTAGATAGATGTTCATGAAAGTTGGTAAATATTTTTTTTTATTTTTTAAGGAGGCATTCTTTAATAATGGACTTATTTAATGCAGTGGCACTATGTTTTTAATAAAGCAGGCTATGTTCAGCAAATTTAATATTCACTGGGTCTTATTGGAATACTATACACACCTCTTTCGCATTTGATATATCAGTGGTATAAACCACAGCATATAGTTTACTGCATAATAAAATATCAGTGTGCAGCAAACTTTTACAATGTGCTTGCAGGCTCAGGAGAAAGTTTTATTAGCCTTAGTTATAAGAGATAATATACAATTACTTCTTGGAAAAGTTGTATTTTGTTTAAAAATGTTCAGCAAGTTCTCAGGACATGTGCTGTCAGGGTTAGGAAGGAGCCATACAGATTCTTCAGAATGATTTGAAGCTCTTTAAGGATGACTGTATGTGAGTTCATCATTATACACTCATATGTGATAGCAGCAAAAACAGGAATATAAACCCAAAAACAGTATTTTTAATGATCTTTTCTAATATTCATTTTCCAACTTCCATTAAGAGGTAAGAATAGTGGGGAATTTCATTCAAATCTATTTACATGTTTAACACAATGATATACGATAATTCATCAAATAACTAAGAAACAGATTCCATGTGATTTATCTATTTTTATTCTTATATATTTCCATACAGCAGCTCACCTTGGTGTTCATGGGACACTTTATCTTTGTGTAGCCCTAGTGTGTAAACAATGTGGGTATGAGCATTACATTAATTTTGAGACTGAAAAACTAAAATATGCTACATGAATCAATTAATGATATAATCTAATCATCAATAAACTGTGTCCTCTAAGAAATATAATTTTAAAACTCTCTAAAGTAGTAAAATCCATTAATGTTTTTTAACCCTGCTGTTTTTGATAGTTGGCCTCAGCAGTTTTTCCATCAGACAGAGGCTAAGGATGCTATCAATTCTATAATCACCAGGGTTGCCTACAGTGGTGATTCAGACACAGTTCACTTGAGTTCCTTTCCAATCAAAACAACATTAAGCTTCATTTGCCTACCACTTACTAGATTTCAACACATTTTCCCACTTGAGACTTCCAGGCTTCACAACTGTACTCTGAAGTATCATTCTTGATTCATACAGAGTAGGAAACGGTGGCACAGAGAAATGGTAAGAAGCCAAGCAACAAGCAGTGGTAGAGCAGAAGGGGTGCTCAACTATTTCAATGCAATTTTCTCTCCTTGAATTATGCTAAATTGAAGTTTCCTACTGGTATTATCCCAGCTACTCACCAACCTCCACTGTCCAAGACATATCCAAGTAGCATGGTCATAACTGTCCTTGCATATTTGCTTCTGTGTTTGTGAAACAGTGTCTTATCCTCAGTTTGATCAGATGTTGAATGTTATGTATGATATAGAAAACAATCTCCATAAGAACTTCTCAAAAATATAATTGAGTCTCCTTGGAGTATAATTATATTTTAGAAGTTTTTATGCACATTTCTCTGAAAGTAATATTAAGGAGTAGCATAAGAACACGTTTGACCCATAGGCACAGATTTTCTTTGCTATTTTAAGGATCATTTTTGAGGTCATAGGGCAATGAAATGCAGTGTAAAGAAGACTCAGAAATATTCAGAAAGTACATTCTCTTGGACCCTTCATTTAGTTTCATGGTGAAGTCATCAGGCAGTAGCAAAAGAAACACAACCATTATCCTCCAATAATCACATTCTTTGGTGGTGTATATTTGAAAATACAGTAATCAGCACTGCCCACAGAAGATGGTATTTCAACCATGCCTCATTAGCTTTTGTTTCAGAGTAATACTTTTATTTAGACCTAGGTGCTGAAGACCAGCTTGATGCAGTGCAGAGTAGGCAGTAGTTAACATTAGTAAAGTGACACAAAAATAAGTTGAGAGTCTGTTTAGGCCTGTATGACTTGTGGTAAGACCCAGAGCTGGTGCACAGGCTGCTTAATCTTTAAGCCATGGCCAGAATTGAACTCAGAATAGGGTCTGTGAAGTTCTGGTACCTCAAACATGGAAGCTGAGGACTTGAATCTTACAAATCTCTTCTATATCAGGAGTGGCAGTTAGCAGATAATCAGCTTACTAGGAGCTTGTCCTGTGTGCTTTTCCAGAAATGCATTATTTTTCAATCCTTAAACCTTGTGTCAGCAGTTCATCATCACCTCCTGCAGCCCATCAGCACATCCTCCAATTAGGCTGCCACCTAATAAAGGCCAAAGACTGGTGATTTTAGCCCTTACTGGGCTTTGACCACCCTAGTGCCACTTGTAACTAAAAAATATATATCTCATCTGTTTTACCCTGTCAGAGTGCCCCTAAGCAGAAGGTAGGTGGTCACTGGCCAAGGCCCCAAAACTTAAAAAAAAATTTAAAGTTTCATTTTATTCGAGTAATGATCACAAAGTCACACCTCCAAATAATAGTGGATGCTAATGTGCTGGGGGTTGACATATTTTTAAACATAAATTAGAACACATAGCTCTTTTTCAAGCAAATTCTGACTTCATCACAGTAGGATATTGATCTTGGTATTGAATTTTGATTTTTCTCTTCTGTTTACCCAAAATGCATCTCTTCCTTCCTTTTTGCATATCTATAGCTTATCATTCCATCAATACCCTGATCAAATTCATCCCTCCAGTGCTGCATTGGCCAGACTGCGTTATTAATCTTTTTTTAAGAACTATAAAATTTAAAGCTAATCCGATGATTTCTACCACTTAGGCATATTGTAAACATGCCTTTCTACACGTGTGTTATGTTAGGACATACTTTTGTGAACAACGTAGGTAAACAAAGTGTACTCACTGATTTATTCCACAGATGGACAAAATAAATACTAGGTATCATTAATTTTCAGTATTTATTTTGCTTGTAGTTAAGTCAGCATACATATGAGTTATTATTCACTTACTATGTGAAAGTAAATTATGTGAGGTCCAAGAGTCTCATGAAATATTCCTGCCAATGACTGGAAATAATATTATAAAATAACTGTGTGTCAATTTCCTTCTCCCTCGTCTCCAAAATACCCATTACTTTTCAGAGAAAGCTTACTGGAAGTCCTCCTATCACAACTCAGCTTCTCCCAGAATGCATGCAAACTCACAGAACACAGAAAGTATAGGGGATATTAGGGTTGGTAAACCTAGGCTCACTTCTGACTTGTGTCATTTATTAATGGCAAGGCCCAGGGATTTAGCTCAGTGGCATAAGCACCTGCCTGGCAAGCATGAGGTCATGAGTTTGACCCCCAATACCAAGCAAACAAAACAAAAAAGTAATATTTGTTAATGGCGTGAGTGTGAACTACTTCCTGACATCTCTGGCCCTCAATAGAAACCCCCAGTTAGTCTGCTGGAATGGAATGAGGTCATCATGTCTAGCACTGTGCCATGCACACAGTGAATCTTAAATAAATGCTTCCTTTTTCACTCCTCCCCTCTTTCCTCACACCTTTTCTCCTAGTTTTATCCTCTTATCTCAAAATTTAAATTAATTTTATTTTTCTTTCACCCCAAATCCTGCTTATATAGATGAGAGTGTGTATTCAAGGAAGTGGACAAGCCAGGGAGATTATAGGAAGCTTTCTAGGAGTTCTTTCAGCAGCCATTTAACTTACACATTAACCTGAGCTTGGTTTGATAAAAGCACAAACAATGCTTTGCAAAAAAAAAAAAAAAAAAAATACTGCTGCCAATTGCCCCCAAGGTTCAGAATTTCCACATGAAAAACAAAATACAAATTCTAAATTTTCCCCCTTCATCCTCTCAATAATGGCTCTGAAAGTCAAAGCAGCCAGTATGAGAATATTAAGCTTTCAAAACAGTTAGACAGGGGCTGGGGATTTAGCTCAGTGGCATAAGCACCTGCCTTGCAAGCAGGCAGTCGTGAGTTTGATCCCCGGTACCGATAAAAAAGAAAAAGACCAACAAAACAAAACACAGTTAGACAAAAAACTTCTGTAACTGTAGTATACCTAAAAGAGAGACAGTGCCATGTCCAGAGGCTGAGCAAGATATAGAAGTCTCAGGAAGTAGAGCAGAACACAGCGAACAAATGTTCTGACATCCTATAAAAGAAAAAAAAAAAAAAAAAAAAAACAGAAATTTAATGTGGTTTGAGACCTGATTCGAACAAGTAGCTGAAGCCAAAAACCTTGAAACAGATACAGAAAAAACAAGGAGTCTAAAGATAATTGAAACCTATAATTTTGTACCTGGTACATTATTTCTAGATTACACAAGCAACTTAGGATATACATTTAAATCATCACATCCAGGATAAAGGAAAATTTCACTGTATTTTGTGTGATGTTTCTAGTGAGTGTAGAATAACTAATACTTATTGCTAGCAAGAACCAGTGAATTCTTCAAGCATGTACATACATTAATTTATTTATTCACAGCTATAACTCTCAGAGGTTACACACCCATGTTTATAGAAGCACAGTTTATGATAGCTAAATCTTGGAAATGGCCCAAAGGCCCATCAACTGACAAATAAATAAAGAGATGTAGGTTTCTTATAAAATAGAGTACTATCAGCCATAAAAAGGGTACATTTGAGACATTTATAGCTAAATGGATGGACTTTGAGACCAAACTGTTAAGTGAAATAAATAGAATATATACTAGATATTATGAAATAAGAAAGAAATGCTCAGTTGGGAAGGAGAACAATGAAGAGGAAAGAAGGGAAAGGAAAATTGAGAATAACTCTCAGAAATACACACTTTGAGTTTTTTCCTGTTTTATTGGAAAAAGAGACATATTGTACACTTAAGTTTTCAGTGTCACTCATTTAGTGATTGGTAAAATTTAAATTAGACATAGATCGAAAATAACATAGGTGATGAACAACTGGTTTTTATTTTGTTCATATTCTGTTTGATCATGGGCTAAAATCCTTTAATAAATCTGTCAATATTTTTCTTTCTTTCTCTGAGTATATTTTTAAACATGGTCTCCTTTGTAAAGCTTTGCGATTATTTGTTTTGTATTTCTCTCATACACTAGATTGAGAGCACAGTGAATATCTTGTATGTATTTTGTTCTAAAACACTAAATGAGTGCATATTCAGATGGTACTATTTTTACATGTCAATTAACAGTTAAAATAAAACTACACTATTTAAAATTGATATTGTGATAACAGTTGTCAATAATCCTACCTTATCTAGATTCTTAGTTTCTCAATGACAAGATAGATAATCTAGCATATATCTGTATCTTTCTACCCTTCCTAGGAATGGCCATATGATTTGTCCAGTGTAGGTGACACAGTAGTACAGGCATTCAAAATACCCCTGACCTATTGTCTACTGGTTGGACTTCATCAAGAGGGTGCTGGAGAGATAATGCAACTTCCTGCTACCATTTCTTTCCAAAGCAGAATTTAGAGACCCGAGGACAGAAATAGAGCTATAAAAATAACAGAAATATTCTTATAAGCAGTTTCTTTCCTCCGGGGCTTAATCTTTTACTGTGCCAAGGAAACATTGCAAACTAATAGTTGGAGAAAATATGTAGTAAACAGAGTCATCCCCAAATTATCACAACTTGAAGATCCTAACACAACACAGTAGACACTTTTGAAGATGTACATACCCATGACCAGTATTAGGTGTATGCCCCACTCTCTTACTCGTGCATGAACAAGAAAGCTCATATGGTATTATTTGTGCTACAAAAAATTGTAAATAAATTAAATGACCATCAGCAGGAAAGTGGATACACTGTCAAATATTTATGCACACTGAAAATAACATATATTGACACTCATGAATCTCAAAAACAACTTTCATTGACAAGCAAATTGTAAAAGAATGCACACAGTATTTATATGAATGTTAAAAGGTCATTAAACTGTATTGTGAGTACATTCATATGTGATAAAGATATAAATAATTGCATGGATAGAAACTTTAGAGAAAGGTTGTCTTTAGGGGGAAAAAAGGGAGTTAACTCATAAAGTACACATATATGACATTATTCTTTTTATTTAAGGCATGCAGAAGGTACATCAATGTCACCCTATTAGTTTTTACATTCTTTTCAGTATCTTAAATCAGTATTTCTACAAGCAAAAGACACTGTTGCCAAAATAGTTCCCAGTATTAAATTTAGCAACTAAAATCACTGTTTTTAAAACAAACACAATGGGCCTAGTCTACTACAGAGGGAGTGTTCAATAAAGGAATATAGAACAAATATTGTAACAAATATATTTCCCCTCACATTCAAATATATTCAAATACAAGTTAAATGTTGCAAGTACATTTTGGGTCCAGAAAATGCCCTTGGCAATGTTGTGAGAAAACTGTAGTCAACAACATGCAATTATTGAGATAGTCGTTTCTTTAACTCTACAATTTCTGACACAAAGGCAACTTAAAATTTGGGAGGAGATGACAAAAAGAAGCCTGAGACTGAATTGTTCAGGGAAGTCTAAGTGCTCCTCCCCTGCTTGAAATTATGGGCAGCTAATTTTAGTCTGCACTGGCAGTACTTATTATAGTAAGAAAATGAGCTCCATAGATTTATTATGCTTTCTGCTTACTATTTTATTTTTATTCTCTTTCAAATGTAAATCTTTGGTCCTAGGCTAACTGGAAAAGCATTTTTTAAAACTTTGGTACAAAGAAATGCCTAAGTACAAGCCAGCCCTGAGTAAGACATTCTACTAGAATCCAAGGCGTATGAAACTTTGGCTTTCATTTGGGTTAAACACTTGTCAACTTCCTGATGAGATGCAATTATAGAAATTTAAGAAAGAAGGACTTGTGAGGAGCTTTCAGATGATTTTGCTATCTAGTATCTTCTTAACAGTATCTTTTAAAACAAGAAGTCTATGATGAGCACCTACATTAGAATAAATTCTTCCCACATTACATTGTCTTTAGTTCTCCATCACCCAGACAAAAAAAGAGAGAAGACAGTCATTGAATATTTTTTTCTCACAAAAGGCGTATTTCTTCATGAGGCTTGGTAAGTGCTTTAATCAAAAGAGAAATTTTCAAAATATTTATAGTCCTTAGCCTTGGAATGTTTTTAAGTACTGTGAGAAATACTTTCTAAATTTAAAAATATGTAATTCTAATGAATTTAGCAACCATATCAATAAATCCTAACTTTTTTATTGTAATGTGAAACTCTATTTTCGTACAACTCTACCAACTATATTAGCCCTTTGACATTTGAGTTAATCACTTAATAATGTCTCGTATATCTTTGCTATATGTTTATTACATTTCTTCTAGGTTCTTCTATGGTTTTGAAATCTCCTTTAGTTTCTACTGCTTAAGGAAGTACAAATATTGACATATTTGAGATATTAGTAGCCAACTGAAAATTTCTACAAGAAAACTTGGTGGAGAGTTGCCAGTGGATGCTTTATCTTTTGAAATACAAAATAGCTGGATCAATTAAAATAAAATTACAATACCCTTTGTTTATAGTCAGAAAATGCCTGGCAGCCTCTGACAAGAAGTAAAAGTCTTCATAATGTTTATCACTTAAAATAAGTTTAAATTTCTTACAATCTTAAAATGTTGCAGGTAAATGCACTGGAGGATAAGTGCATGAAGCTCAATTGGTAGAAATCTTTTGAATCAAGTCTTAAAATCTATAAAAGGCCATGAGATACTTTTCAATATGAAAACCAGAGTTGAATATTTTTATATCTATTTCAAAGCATATGATATTTGCCATAAAATATGTAGTTAATTGCAAATTTTATCATAGATAAAATAGATAAAAATTATATATACAGAATTTCAAGAATGTGTAAAATATACTATTATGCATCTTCCATCATTAACCTAAATAGGTAACTATACTTGTAACAGACATCACCAGTACCCCACACAGCTAAAAATTCTTCCTCAATACCATTCTCTTTCCTCTAAATCACAGGCAGCCACCATCCCATCTTTCGTTTCAATCATTCCCCATTTTCATTCATAATTCTACTATTTATACATGTAACCCCAAGCAGTATGCAGCTTAGCTTTAAAATAGAGAAGGAAGTTCAAATATAACTGTGTGAGGCAAAGGTAGCATTAACTCAAACAGATGGAGGATTTCAGAAAAAGAGAAACTATTTTGAGACTGAAAATAGAGTTTTAAGACAATTTATAAGAACTCTTTGGAGGAAATCAGTGAGCAAGTTCACAGGTGAGTCCTAGGCCACACAGGGGTCACAGCTGTGGTGATCTGGCAGGGCTGAAGTGTATGGTGGGTTTTAGGTGTCAATCAGGAACATAAGCTGTTCTGGATTTTCCATTTATAAGCTTGCTAGGGTCCATCTCTTAGGAGAAATCTAACTCAAATTACTTTGATACGAAGATCCAGCAAACAAATAGGGAAGAACCAAAACTTCACGGAGAGCTTCAACAAAAGCCTGATGTGAATAGGGATCTTGGCCCAGCTTGCTGGATATTCTGTCTGCAGGATGTGAAGTGAGTACAGCGATGTCTCATAACGGGAGGTTCAGCCTCACCTCAGGCCCTCTGTATTGTGTATTCCTGAGATCTTGGGGTCCCTCTTCCATTCTCCTGGATTTCCACTAAATCCTCTTTTGGATATCCTCTTTCTTGTGTCCCTTGAACTCCTCTTGTTTGCCTTTTCTCATACTTAGAGTTATATATCTTACGCTTGTTTCTTGCCACACTAATGATGAGAGCTTTTAATCAGATCCCACATTTTGAAACTGTCTTCACTTTCATGCTGCCATTGGAATAATTTTAAAATGTAAGTCGGAAGTAAGATTTCCATGAAATTTTGAAGGTATTGTTCCATTGTTTCTGTGCTTCATGTGTTGCTGAGTAACCCAAAATTATTTTTATTTTCTGTGTTGACTTTTTCTTTCTAGAAACTTGTAGAACCTTCTTTCTTTCTTCTTACTATTGTAAAATTTTCAACAATGATCTTTGATGTGTATCAAGTTTACTCAGATTTTTTAAATTGTAGTATTTTGGGTACTTGGTAGACCTTTCAAAACTGTTCATTCGTCTCTCTGGTCTAGGATATTTCATATATTTTCTATATTCTTTTTCTTCTGTATTTGTTAAATTTTGATATTAAAAAGTTATTTAACTATTTTTTGTCTCCTATCATCATTTAATTATTTATTGCTCTACCTTCAGGAAGATTAAATCAGCATAGTGTTTTTCATTTTGATTTTTTTCATTTCAAAGCATTCTTTTATTTCTGAATAGTTCCACTTTTGTAAGGCTTCTTACTTTTGTTTAATGCATGCAATAATTTCCATCTTTCTGATATGTTAGATATTACTAAAAGGTATTTAAATCAATTTAATTAAAGTATAGATTACATACACTATTGAGTTTTCACAAAGATATAATTTTGTGTAATTACCATAATCAAAATATAAATAATGTGTCTCCCAAAAGTTCTCCTGTGTTTGTTCCACTCATTTTCCCCCCACACTCTTGATCTCAGGAAAATTTATGTCTGTTTTATGGCACTATGGATTGTGTTCATATTTCTATAATTAATAATAGAGTATTAGTTTTCCCCCAAATAATTTGTTTCTTTCAAATTGTTATTTTTCTTTGGTGCATATGTTTCATTCTGTCTTTCATATAGAGGCTTTTCAGAAATGCTGGTCACTCAATCTATTCCAAACAAAAGAGAGAAATTAAAAGAAGACTAGATCTGAACACATGAGCTTTTTGCAATATTGACTCCCGTGTGGTCAAAATTGGAATTCAGATATCTGAAGGTAGAATGATGGATATTCCAGTTCTGAAAGAAGGACTGATTTTATATTTCCTGCATTTATTCATCCTATCTTAATCCTCAGTGCATTGAATGATGCCAACTCACACTGGAAAAGTAAATCTGCTTTATTCAGTATGCTAAATCTAATGCTACTACTCTCTTTCAAACACACCAGGAATAATTGACATAATGTTTTCCATTACAGACTTTTGAGAATCCTCGTATAAATTAGGCTAGTCCCAATTCTCTCTCTTGTCAGCTTTCTGAGTGCTGCTGACTCAAATTTATCTTTCAAATTTCTAAAACTTTATTGCAATTGATCTCTTTATTTTTCTTCATTTCAAGGACTTATGTCTGTCTTTTTTTAATCCTTTAATTTTATTGCTACATATGCTTAGAGAGGATAGAATTAGATTTAACTGCCAATCTATTATCTTAACCCAAATTTCGCATTGTTAGACATTTTATACTTTATCACATGTAACAAAAGAATCAGTGCAAATTAATGAAATACATAAATTCTGATTGAGTAAAGCGTGTCCCTTTCGATTTCTAATTTGGCCAATAGATAATTTTCATAAAATTTTATATTGTTGATATGTCATTTTCCTAATATAGATTCATTGGCTTGGCATAAATTTTGGAGTTTTATATTCAGTATGGTTTTAAACACCTTAAAATTTTAAAATACAAATTAGATAAGAATTTCTAATTAGGATTTTGAGACAGTGAATTCAAGTGCTCGGATATATTACTTTTAGATAAAATATCACTATGTTTAGATTTTGTATTTGTTTATGAAGCAGTAAGTTTTTGTTCAGCTGTGAATACCTGAAAAGATAGCAGGAAGTGGCTAGTTGGGATTTTACTTCTATGCATGATGCCTGTTGTACACAGGTTAAACACAGCTTATCAAGGAGAAAGACCCTGTGAGCATTCTGAGAGTAAATGCCAGTCTTTAACTATGAACCTTCTGAGGGCATACACTCTGCAGAGCAAGGCAAATTGCTGCCAACATAGGTTGAAAACATTCACTGGGGACAAAAGCAAAGGCCACGTGTAGTGTTACTAAAGTGTTTAGTCTAAGGTTACAGATAAAATAGAGACTATCAAAGTTAAATTTGAATTGTATATGAACAAGAAGTATTTCATTTTTTTAAATTTTATTTAAGGAGGAAAAAAAAGCAGAGAAAGGGTACAAGTTATACAGATTTATAGAAAAAATAAACAGTAGGAAATCACTAGTTAATGGATTACATATTGTCATCTTAGAAATAATTGTTCAAGTCACAAAGTTAAAGCTTGTAAAGTGGACATTCCAACAGTGAGACTGCAAACAGTTCTGTTCAATGATCCAATAAAACTCAGTGATATCATTTTCTATCTTATACACTTAAATATACATGCAGTTATATCGTTTAGAGCACTTTCTTTTCCTCTCTTTTGTACAATGACAATTACACATTTTGGGTTTTGTTGCTCCCACAGTTCTTACTACTTTTTTGGAAGGGAGTAGAACCAAATGTGACCTAACAGAACAGAGTCAATCAAATCAAAAGGGTGGACATAATAGATAATGTAAAAGCATAATACAAGGTGATCAATAATGGTTACCATAATGCCTCCTGCCATCTCTAATAGAATTGCCTATATCATCAGTTATAATAAAATTGAACAAAACAGTAAAGAACAAAACTGACAAAACCAAAACATTGGAGACATTATAGGTCTTCAAAAGTAGATAAAAGTCAATGAGAATGGGTGTCATAATGAATCTCACTATCTTCACAGCTGTTGCTTAAACTTTCGAACCTGGTACTATCAAGCAAAACAGAATAGGGGGACATCAGTCAAAAACAAGATGGTGAGAGTAATACAGGACTTTAAATCAAGATAATGGAAAGTCAAAGTGGGTTACTATAATATATCCTGCTATTTTTTATTTATTTTTCCCTTAATTAAAAGGATAAAAATAAAAAAGTAAATAATGAAGTGGAGATTGAGATAAAAGAGTACATAACAGCGAAACAGTGCAGATCAAAACATAACCATTTAAGCAGAATAGTGTTTCACCATAAGATAATCCTGACATAAAAGTAGTTACCATATTGTCTCTTTCCTTGAAATTTTTGAGTATAACTTTGTATACTGTAGCATCAAATATATCAAAACAATGTAAAACTATTTAAGAGAATGACAGCATTACAGGATATTTAGAATCAACTAACAGAAAATGAACAATGGTTTCTGTATAATCTCCTTGTCTTTAAAAGTTTTTGCTTATACTATCGTACATAATAAAATCCAATAAGATACAACCTGTTTAGACCAATGGAGACAGAAGGACAAAAGCTTGATGAGACTTCAAAACAAGATGATACTAAATCAGTATTACCTATTAAGATGTCATTTTCTCCAAAATAGCTGTTCCTATCATCCAATCTTCTCTACCTCTTTTCTGTTGAGCTCTTTTTCTGTCATTAGTTGTCAGTTTGTCTTCTTCATTTTGTTTTCTGTTCCATTCATTGTGGCCTCTATGCCACTGTTTCTGGATTCTTTGTATTTTTCTTTTTTAGAATATCCTGCAGTATTCTCTGTATAGTTGAATTGGTGGCTGCAAATTCCCCTAGTTCCTCTTTATCCTGGAAGCACCTTGTTTTTCCATCAATTTCCAGGGATAGTTGTGCAGGATATATCAATCTTGGCTGGAGATTATTATCTTTCAAAGCTTGAATTATTTCCCCCCACACTCTTTGTGATTTGATGGTTTGTGCAGAGAAATCTGCTGTAATTCTGATGGGTGTTCCCTTGTAAGTGGTGTGTTTCTTGTCTCTGACAGCTTTTAATATTCTGTTCTTGTATTGAATTTCTGGAATTTTTATTATTATATGCCTGGGTGCTGCTCTGTTTGGGTTGTAGGTGGCTGGGGTCCTGTATGCCTCATACTTCTGAGCATCTTTATCTTTTGCTAAATTAGGAAAATTCTCCTGGATTATTTCTGTGAGTAGCTTTTGTAGCTCATTTGTTTGTGTCCCTACTTCTTCTTTTATGTTCTTAATTCTTAAGTTATGGATCCTCTTATCATCTTCTAGTCTTTGTATTATTGCTGTTTGTTTCTTTGTTACTTTTAAGAAGTTTTTTATTTCATTCTCCCATATTACAAATCTGCCCTCCAGTTCAGATAGTCTGTCCTTAGTTTCTTTCAAGCTGTTATGCCAGTTTTCTATAGAGTTTTTTAGTTTCCTGGTAGTCTCTTTGAACCTGCTTCATGTATTCTATGCTTTCTCTATTTTCTCCATCAAACAATTCTCCCCTCTTTTTCTGTTCTTCCATTCCACCATCTGTTTTTTCTTGGGTGGTGCTTAGCATTTCTCTAACTATTCTGCTTATTTCTAGCTTCAGGTCATTAATAACTTCATTCCTGAACTGATCTATGAGGCTCTCTAGATGGCGCTTTATGTCTATTGGTGCAGTGTCCGCTATTGCCTGTTTCTTAGGATTGGGGGCCGAGGAGCCTTTCTTGTTGCTGCCTCTTCCCATATTCTTTGTTCCTTATATATGCAAGCTTATATAGGAGGCCCAGCTTCCCTCCCTGTCAGCCACAGCCTGATTGAATTGCCCCGGCTAGGTTTTCCCGCCCACCGCAGCACACCAGGAAATTGTAGACCAGGCAGCCTACTCGAGGCCCACCCCTCCAGGCCACCCTCAGGCTCTGGGATCTGGGTTGTGCTAGCCTATTGGGTCTCCACCAGCAGCGTCATGTAGGCTAGGCACTTCTCACCAATCCCGCTTGAGAGGGGGGATATGTGGCTGAAGTCGCTGCAGCGCCCCACTCCCGCAAGTCTGCCCAGTCCCAGAATGTCTTCCGCTGGGGTCTCATTAAACTGTGGAAGAGTGTCAGTTTCTCTCACTCACCTCACCGCAAGTTAATGCACAGCTCCCCGCCCATCCTGTTTTCAACTCTGTTCACCGATTCCCGTTCTCAGGTCTCTCTCCCTGCAGAGCCGATGTAGATGCAGCTGCCGCGTGGCGAGAAACCCAAATCGTGGCTTCCAATGGTGCGGGCTCCAGCCTCCACACTGAGGCCCCTCTGTTCCTGTTCTAGCACCAGGACTGCATTCCAAGTTGGTTTCTCTCAGCCCAGTTCGTTCCTGGGTCAACAGAGCATATCTCCACCTGCTTATGACTCCTTATTCCGCACCATTCCTGAATTCTAAGCCGAGTCTTTCAGAGATCCTCCGTAGCTGCTGCTATCTGTCCGCCGTGCTCTCCCAGAAGTCACAAGAAATATTTTAGTGAAGCATGCCCCATACAATAATTACAACATTCTCATACTGAAAATATTATTTACCATCTATCCAGAATTAAAATTTAACTGATGAGGTGGGCTTCCAAAAATCTGGTTATAAAGGTGATGACCTTCAATTTAAAATCAGAACATCTAATGAAAGTTTGGACCAGAGAAATAAAAATTATAAAACCTGTAGGAAAGGTAATTTAGAGCTCAAGGTGACCAGCTGAGTATTCAAGGATCGATAAAATAAACATGAAGAAGAGAATAATATGTTCCATAGGGCACATACAGAAAACATCATGGCTACTCAGTAGGGCATAGGAGAAATCCCAGTGTCTCCTTAGTCATAGATAAGAACTTCAAAAAGAATAAGCTCCTTCAAAAGAAAGCTTTGAGGATGAAAAACACAAGACATGCCTGACTCTTCCTTTTTATATTATGACTATATGACACAGGCATGGTTAAGCTTGGTCCTGTCACTTGCCATAGACTTCCTGTTATGGTTTGTGTTTTAATATCCTCACAAAGCCTCATACAATCATGAAGGAGCAAGCATTTTCAAGGTGGCTGAGTCTAGCATTTCTGATTGATTAATTGTCTAGTGCTGCAATCCACAGTGTGAGTGCCACACTCACTGAGGAGCTGGTAGCTGGCATACAAGAGAGTTGTTGCTTGCAGCCACCATGAATGATTGTCCCTTAGCCATACCACCTTGCCTTGGATCTAACTGATTATAGACTAAAGCCTTCCATGAATTGTGAACTAAATAAACCTTTCCTTCCTTAATTTTTGATGTAAGGTATTTTATCTCAGCAAGGAGAGAAAAGTAAACAAGACAGAACTTGATACCAGTGGAATGGGGTCATTGCTGACTGCACCTGACCATATGGTTTAAGAGCCTTTAGGAATGTCTTGTGGGAAGAGTTTGGAAAGGTTCTGAGATGTCACTTGAAAAGAGTTCTACTGGAATGCCTTAGGCTGCTCTGTATGGGACATTCTAGTCAGAACTCAGAAGATCAGAAGGCTAGCAAAAATCCTGCTGGTAAAGACCAGGCTTTGAAGGTTTCTTCTGGAAAAAGGACTACATTGCTATTGGACTCCAGGCAATATGTGTTATGGCTTGACAGATAGTGTATCTGAATTTTGCTCCTGTCAAGTGACTTTGCCTGAGACTGAGATTAAAGGAAGTGTGCTAATTAATCTAGCAAAGGGATTTCAAGGCAGTCAAGTGTTAAAGCCATGGAATGGCTATTGTTGGAAACTTTTCATCAGGTTTATGTAATGAATTAAGAGCAAAGATCCCAGCAGGATTATTTAAAACATTGTGAATTTGGCCAGAAAGGAAAGTCCAGTAAAACTGTGAACTGTAATGATAGAACTGTGATCTTGTTAGCTGAGAAATAATAGAAAATCTGGCCTATAGGGATCACAGGAAGTGATGACTTTCCACCCTTGCCACTCAAAACAGAAGGGAAAGACTTTGCTTTGAGGAGAAAGTCGCAAAATGTCATGTTCTAGAATGGTGATGGAGTCTACACAAGTTTCCAAAATGATGGCAGCCAAACTAGGTCCCAGAATGGCAGCAGTTTAGAGAATTTGTTCCTCATAATTGGATTCAGAGTGTGCAGTTATTCAGGCACTCAACCCCTAAAGCCAAGAGAGAAGAAAACCTGGCTGCCACTACAGCTGGCATCAGACCTTGGCATCATCCATGTGGCACTGGTCTTAGATGCGTACAACATACAAGTGTTCTGAATTTGAAAAGGCTTTCACTCTGATTTCAGAAGGCCTAGGAGGTCAGGCTGTGTGCCCCTGTGAAGGCATTGTGTGAAACTGTGTGAAGCCGAAGGTGCAATGGAGAACCTGGAAGCTTAGAAAAGTCAGGAATGCAGATCATCTGGGAAATCTGTAAGGAGGGAGCAAAGTCAGTCCAAGAGAAGTTTTTAACTTTGTTTTAATTTGTATGGGGTTTTCAGATAAGAGTTTGTCTTACATCTCTCTTGGGACTTGGTATTTTCAGCAAGGAAGTGTGTTGGTTACTTTTTTGTCATTGCTGAGACAAAATGCTTGACTCCCAAAATGAAGTAAGGAAGATAGAGTCCATCACCATTCTGGAACAGTTTCAGCTAAAGCTGTTAGGACTTTGGCAACTCTTGGAGATGGACTAAATGTCTTTCATATAAAGGATATGCATGAGTCTTTGGGGGGCCAGGAGTGGATAGTTATGGTTTGTGTTTAGATGTCCCCCCAAAGCCTCAAGCAGTCTTGGGGGATAAGATTTCCAAAAGCAGCTGAGTAGCATTTGTGATTGGTTCACTGACTAGCTCAGGGATTGTTAATGTGAGTACTGTACCCACTCAGGGGCAGGTAGCTGATATAAAACATAAGGAAGGGGAAAATCGTGCTCTTGCTTTCTGCTCTTTTCACTCTTGTTGCTTGTAGTCAGCCACCATGAATGCTTGCCCCTTAGCCACATCACCCTGCTTTGGAGCCAGCTGAGTAGGAACTGGAATCTCCAAAACCTGTAAGCTGAAGAAACCTCTCCTTACTTCATTTTGGGAGTCAAGTATTTTGTCTCAACAATGAGAGAAGTAACCAACATGCTTCCTTTCACTTCCGCTCAGTCTTCTCAGTACCCACCCATTCAAGGATGCACTAAGATAACTTATCTAAGTGTCTTCAGTTGGTTACTTAGTGGCCATTCTTTGACCTACAGAAGGTTCAACTTAGCCATCAGCTATGTTGCCCTCCCTGCTCCATCCAACTGCTCCAGACATTGGTGCCTCTTTGAAGAAGTGTCAAGAAAACCACCCGTAATGTGACAGAGATCAAACAGGGATCTAGAACCTTTATTCCCAGCCTCCTCATTGTGAATAAAGTTAGCCTTTCTGAAGATTTCCTAGTTTGAGCCCTGCTATTTTTTAGAGATGAAACAGCTGTTAGTAAAGCAGTTCACATTTCTGATGTTCCCATGAACTACTATTATTACGGTACTAAACACAGGCCTACATTTGGGCCAATCACAAGCCTTCATCTATTGTATAAGTAGCATTTCCCTCACACTTCTTGGATTAATATGGGGGTACTCCCTCTCCTACACTGATCCACCTGTGCCACCTCACAGGTCTCGTTCCAATAAAGTCTCATTCTGGTAGGACTATAAATCAGGTTGTGATCTATTTCTCCTATAATCTGGACTCAAAAAGTTTTGTAAATATACTTCTCAGGATTGTTATCTTGAGTAGCGAGGACTGAGAAACTGATTTAGAAGAAAGAGCAATAAAAGGTTTCTGTTAAAACACTGCTACTCCGGAGCACTCCAGAGACTAGCAGCCAACAAAGATCTGTGACAGAAAATGACATCCAAGTGAATTGATTGATGGCATCCAGCATTAACTGTTGAAGACTAGTGATATTATCACCCTTAGCAAAACTACAGTTTGAAAACTCATGATTTTTATCTGAATCAAGCAAAAGAACCCTCAATTGATTGGCTACTATATCTTTGCTTTTAGCAATAACAAGTACAGAAAAAATGTTTGTATTGGGGTTATCCAAGTTTAAAGGAGAAGACTTGCAAAGGGATATTAAAGTTAAATTATTATATTTGAAATAAAACTTTTTTATAAAACCAGATCATTCTTAAGTACTTTTGTGCTCTTCCAACTCAGTATCTTTCTGGCTATTATGTTTGAAAGTAAGGATTTGATGTGGACTTTTGGAATAAATTTCTTTAATATTTTAAAATTTCTTTAAGAGTATGCATGATCAGATGTCAATGTCTCTTGAATATTCTTCCCCAGGTTCTTCATTTTCATTCAAAGACTGGTTCCATAAAAGGAGTTTCTCAGCCTATCTCTATTTCTCCAGAAAGTTTCCATTCAAATTATGCTAGAGAGCTCTGATGCATCTTGTGTTTTTAAAGTACTTCATCACCTCTAGTTACTCTAGAATTCCAGGTTCAAAAAGAAAGGAATTCACCAGTATAAAAGTACCAATAGTATACACACAGATTCATAGGGAATTCATCATGGAGACTAATGATTTATGGAGGCTGAGACTATGAAAGCCTACGAGCTGCTAGTATGGAAATTAGTAATGTCCCTCAGTAGGAGTAATAAAAAGATTTTTTATTGATTTCTTTTTGTTATTTTCATAATTCTTTCAGCTTGGAATTGAGATGTTTCAATTTAGGTAAAAGGAGTGGAAGTTTTTAAAGAAGAAGTAACTACATGGCTAAAAGTATGGGTTTCATTATCTTTGACTGGGTGGCCAAGATATCCAGTCTTCCAATTGATCACCAAGCAGAGATGTAAAACAGCCTCGAGTACCCTTTTTCTTTCACCTTAAATTATGTATAACTAAATGTTCCTTTCAAGTTTGGCATTTTGTAAAGAGAATTTTCTGAATCAGTAATGGAAAGAAAATGTAAAGGAATAAAATTTTCATCCATTGTTAACTTTTAAATTAAAAGTTTTATGTGTATTAAATTAAATGTAAAATATAATTAAACATTAAATAGATATTAAATATAATGCATTAAAATAGCTGTATGCAAAGTCAACACTCAAAAATCAGTGTCATTCGGATACACAATTAACAAACTCACCAAAAAAGAATATTTGGGAAACAATATCTTTTATAGCAGCACTGAGAAAAATGAACTACTTAGTAATCAATCTAACAAAAACAGTAAAAGATTTCTGTTATGAAAATCACAATACTATAAAAACAAGGAGATCAAAGAAAATAATAGAAAATGGAACAATATTCCTTGCTCTTGGTTAGGATGAACCAACATAGTAACAATGGCTGTATTCCCAAAGTTGACCTTAGAGATTTAATGCAATCCAAACAAAATAGCATTAGTATACTTCATAGTACTAGAAAAAAACACTCCTAAGATTCATTTGGAATCAGAAAAGACCTAGAATGGCAAAAACAATTCTAAACAACAAAAGCAAAGTTTGAACATCACAATCCCTGATTTGAAATTATACTACAGAGCTACTGTGATAAAATCAGCATGGTACTAAAAACAGCAACAAAAAGGACAATGACAAAAAAACAGATCTGAAGAATGATATAGATTAAATGATGCAGAAACAACTCCAAACACATTCAGTCTCTCTAACTTTGACAAAAGGGTCAGGTCACTGGAAGAAAGACAACATCTTTTATAAATAGTGCTGGAAAAAACAGAATGTCTATTAACAAAAATCAATCAACAACAAATGCTTCTGGAGCTGTGAGAGAAAAGGAACCTTTCTCTACTGTTGATGAAAGTGCAGACTGGCACAACTGCTTGGAAAGCAGTGTGGAGATTCCTAAAAAACTAGACCTAGAGATCCCATTGGACCCAGCTCTTTCCTTTTTTGGTTTCTTCCTGGAAGGATGAAAAGCATCAAAGCATCATATCAAAGCAATACATGCACACCCATGTTTATAGCAACACAATTTATATTAGCTAAATCTTATAAACAGCCCAAATGTGCATCAAAAGGTGAATTGATAAATAACGTCTCTCTCCCTCTGTGTGTGTGTGTGTGTGTGTGTGTGTGTGTGTGTGTGTGTGTGTGTGCGTGTGTGTGTGTGTATGTGTGCATGACTGCTTCTCAGCCATAAAGAAAGACAAACGAAACATTCTTAGGTAAATTGTTCTTTCTGGTTGCAGAGAAATGGCTATTAATTGAATTTAATGGACAAAGACCAGGGATGCTGTTAACAAACTTCTCCTTTAGCAACAAAGTATTATCCAGTCTGGTAGTCAATAGAATCACTCTCTCAATTAAATTAAGAGAGATTAATATGGCTTTTCTCCCTCATCTTTTTTTAGGTGAATTCTCCTATTTCCTTGTTATTTCTCCAAACTCAGAACAACAAGCCCTCAGTTTCCGCAGCTATAACAAATGTATAGCCCCTAAAACAGATTTTAGCTCAGAGACAGGTACTCAAGAAATGATGATTTCATCTCAGCCTTTTACCAACTAAACTCATCCAGGATAAAACCAGCCTAATGTGCACAATCTACCAAAGTACATGGCCTCTTGGATCTTTTCCTGGGTTCTTTTCCATTGCCATGCATGGAAGACAATTGGAAAGAGTTTGAAAATCTATTTTATGACTTGAAAAAAAATGAACAAATTATAAGAGCAAAAAAGAAATTAAAGCACACCCTCCTTATCACTGTTCAAAATGCAGTCTCCTGTGACAAATATCAAACTGTTAGTGCTGTGCAATCTTAAACAGATCAAATATAGTAACTATATGTTACTTTTATCTTGATATTACTCTTTTGTTTATTTCTGGTATGTTAAACTTCAGAGGTAGCGCTTATGCACCCAGAAAACATTCAGGTCAAAATAGAGTATGCAAAAAAAGGCCATGCCTTTTGGCATTCCTCTCTCACTTGATTATCTCAGTTAAGTGGGAATCAGATAGGGCTTTGTCAGAAAGGGAATTTTCCTTGAGATTTTCTAGTAAAAAGAGGCAGAGTAGTATCATAGGTTCTGCTGAGGTGGTCTAGGCAGATTACTCTTTTATATTTTTACCTTTTTTTTAAAAAAATAAAAATAATGATACAGAATTTCAAAGCAGAATATTAGGAAATTAATAATGGTTAATACAGTGTGTATTTTTTAAGTACTTGCTCAGATTAACAGAAATATGTATGATAAATGATCAAACAATGAAATCACAAATTGTACTTTTTGTTAGGCTAGTGAAAATTAATAGTATAATTATCTATAATATACATATATATATAGCTTTTTCTCTTCTTTCTTTTTTTATTATGAAGAGAATAAAACCAAACTATTTTACTTTATTTTAAACAGAATAGAGTTAATCAAAACAAAAAAATGAATATGGTACAGGACTTCAAGACAAAGCAAGATAAAAGGAAATCTAAAATGGCTAACATAATGTCTCTTATTATCTTCAAAATAACTACCAATACCAATACTACCAGGTACAACAAAACCAAATAAAACCAATCAAAACAAAACTATGAAAGCAGTACAAGACCTCAAAACAAAGCAATAGGAAAACATCAGTGGCTATAATTATGCCTCTTGTTAACCTCAAAGTAGCTGCCCATATCATCAGACATAATACACTCAAATAAAACAAAATAAAAAATAAAATCAATCAGAAGAAAACAATGAAAGCAATACAGGGCTTCAAAACAAGACACTAGGAAATCAACAATGACAACCATTATATATCTTGTCATCTTTGAAATAGCTATCCATGCCATCAAACATAAAAAAGTAGATTACAACCAGGCTAATCAGGACAATTAAAACAATATAGGGCCACTGCATTTCCTTTTTAGAGATTTCCTCCCCTTTCACTTTCACAATATTTATTGTGCACTTTGGATCCCACTAATTCCTGTAGTTTTTTACTAGGGAGACAACAGGGTGTTCACCCATGTGACTCTGAACCATTTCATCCATGAGCATAATCTTAAATTGTATCCATTTACCTTCAAGAGCCTCAAGGTTATCTTTCTTTATAGCTGAGTAGCTTTCCATTGTATAAAAATGCCACGTCTTTCTTATCCAGTCTGCAGTTGATGGGCAAGCTACCCCCATTTCTTTGTGGTTCCTTGTCACATAGAGTGTTGTTCTCCCCCTCTTTTGACTTTCAGTCCATGAATCCCCTTTTGAGTTAAATGTGTTTCTTGTATAAATTATATTGATCGATCCTATCTCCTGATCCACTTTGCCTGTGTTTCTTTTTATTGGTGAATTCAGGTCATCTACATTAATGGTTATGGTCAGTATGCACAGGTTTGTCTCTGCCATGCTATTTTCCTGCCATTGGCTCCCTACTTTTCCTCTCCATTCAACTATCTACCCTGTTTGGTGATCTCCCTCTACCACTATTCTTGGAACCATGGTCTTTTTATCTCTCTCTAGAATGTCTTTCAGTATGTTGTGTAGAATTGGTTTGGTGGTCATAAATTTCTTCAGTTGTACATCTATCTGGGTTGGAAGTTATTTTCTTTTAGGACTTAAAATGCTTCACTCCAAGCTCTTCTTGACTTGATGATTTGTGTTGAGAAGTCTGGCATGATTCTGATGGGTTTTCCTTTATAGGTGATCTGTTTCTTTGCTCTAACAGCTTTTAATATTTCCATTCTTGGTTGAGTTTCTGGAATCTTTATTATTATATGTCTGGGTGTAGATTTATTTTGGTTATGGCTAGCTGGAATTCCATATGCCTCACTTATCTGTATATCACATCCTTTTCTCATGTTTGGGAAGTTTTCTGCTATTATTTCTGTAAGTAGAATTTTAATGTCATTTGTGTTGACCCCTGCTTTTTCACTGACATCTATTTTTCTCAAGTTAATTTTCTTTGTGTCATTTTGAAGTCACTGAATTATTTCCTGGTTCCTTGTTATTTCCTTTCACATTTTTTTTAAATTAGTACCAGGGATCAAATTCATGACTGCCTGCTTGCAAGGCAGGCGCTTATGCCACTGAGCTAAATCCCCAGCCCCTCCTTTCACATTCTTAAGCTGCATGAATGTCCTCAAGATCTGAAGGTCTATCTTCAGCTTTTTTCAAGCAGGTTTGCCAGCTTTTAATGGAGTTTTTAATTTCCCGGATATCTCTTTGAATG